AGTATATGGTGTTTAAAACATGAATATGTAATTATATATTTTTTTCAGGTTTGTTTAGGAGGTAGTTGTAAATATCTTTTGTTAGCTCATTTTTGTATGCTAAAAATATATATTTTTGTTAATTTAATATTTTTATAGATCTATATTTAATAATTAAGAGAGATGTCTGAAACCAAGCTTAGTTTAAAGTTTTTATTTAAAAGTAATTTAAACTAGAATTATTAGTGATTTTCTAGTACCAACCTAATGAATAAAATAAAATGATTTTGAATATAGAGCTTTTCATAACTTCAGTTAATGAATTGACTTAAATTTATATATTTGCTCTACATATTTTTTTACGCTTTAATTATATGTCATCAAAGAATCATCATGTAATTTTAGTTGACGGGTTATGAAAAATTTCAATGACATTTTTAAATGTTTAATAACATAATTAGATAAAATTTAACCAAAAGTACACATATGTAACGCAATATCCATGTTAATATTTTAAATGTGATAGTTTGTGAGGATGGATGGATGTTTGTTACTCTTTCACGCCAGAACAGCTGAACGGATCTGGATGTAATTTTTCACAGACTGTACTCTGGAATAGTAAATAAGTTACTTTTTATCTCGAAAAAATGTACGATTCCCGTGTGATAGATTTGCCTTTGTTTAGGGACGAACCCGACGCGAAGCGAAGGTGAGTCTTGAATAATTATGAAATCTACAAAATATACAGACCTGATGCATTCATAAATTTAATGAGTAACTAGATGTCCAGTGTATTCGTTAATCATCGTTGTAATATTTTCATAATTTTCGACTTTTTGAAAAAAGACGGAGAGAAATAAGCTCTAATATTTCATGTTCTCCACCTTCATTCCTTCTTCCCGCCCTTGATTCCCTAAAATATAAAGAAAATGTGTTACGGTTTAGTCTTAACTAGATTACATTAAAGGAACCACATAATATCATGATGTTCTCCTGACCGATTCCGGCCACGGCCTCATTGATCAAAAATGTACTAGATATACAATCCCATGAAAGAGTTCTATTAAAATTGTCACCACACAATAGTATTTAGGTAATTAGGTATTCTCGTTGACACAACAGCAAGGATTTTTTTTCACTAATTTTGTATCTAATACTTTTTTGATTGATAAATGGTCTATACTTTTCTATGTTTCTTACTTGTGGATATAAAAATTTATAATAATTCTTTGGCAAAGTGAACCACTTTTGCTAGGAATGAACCCAGTTATATAGAATGCTTTTTATCCCTGCATTGTAGTATATTAGTTAATACAAGTAGTTAACATATATTGAAATCAGTCAAATCATAAATAAACTTAGTTACCAATAATAATAAATATTTAAAAATTCATCTAATATGTACGCCCACGTCGATATTATGATAAGAAATCGATATTAAACAGTTTTCTTTTTATGAAACTTTACAAAAAATATCTTAATTGGCATTCTATTCGACTACCGGTGTTATCTAAATTTTATCGATGGTCTAGTGTCTAGTGCAGTGACAGATATTGTCGATAACCGAAAGATTATATCGATGTTACCAAAAACGGGAGTGAGAAGACAATTACTGAAGTTAATATTTATGTGGTTTTTATGGTGATTTTTTTCAAAGGTACATAAAAACGTTTACGCACTTATTTCTGTCCTAATCATAGTTATAAATGGACCCAGTTATGCAAAAAAACAACCATGTATAACTCTGTTGGTACTTTTACGCACATGGCTGTTTTTTGCATAACTGGGTCTTAATATAGTTTATATTACAATGAAATTATTCTATCTTTATTGAAAATAATATCGCGTAAAACTCTACATAGAACAAATTATAAAGAAACACTTCAAAAAATGGTAGGTATTATTAATATTGCCTTAGCATTGTTACTACTATTGCAAAATTAAGTGTTAAAATTCCAATTAATTGAAAATTGTTTTCGATGCTATATTGTCATATTACCTATAGGTAATAAACCTATATAATAAATAAATATTCAAATCTGGAGAAATATCCAGTAGTTTTCATGTTTCAGAAAATATATTAGACACATTAAATTAAAATTTCATTAAAATTATGAATTAGCAAACCAGGAAATATCTACATTAAAGGATTTAAAAAAAATGGATTTAATCTATTTATTAAATATGAAATAATAATAGCCGAATGTGACTGCCTGAGTTTGCCATTAAGCGGTTACCCATCTAGTTTTTACCGCTGACGAAGTTGCTTTAATTTGTAATTCTTAAGATGCCTTGGTTAAACTTTATTGAAAGTTTAGCCTCTTATGATATAGGTGTATTATATTATATCATGTAGGTAATTTTTACATATTATAATAAAATTGTAGAGGTAGAATGTCTGTATGTATAGAAAAAAAAATGCTAAAGCTGAGTCAGGGGGATGTAAGAAGAGAAATAGAGCAAATGCAGTATTTTTTCAATTTTTTTGTTTCTCTGTCTGTTTGTACGGGCTAATATCCGAAACTGTTGGACCGATTTAAATAAAAATTTTCATGATGGTATCTTATATTCCCGGTCAACATGTTAGATACTTTTCATCCCGGAAAATTAAAGAGTTCTAGTGGGATAGTTAAAATACTATAGTAACTTATACAGCTTACTCGTAGTAGGTACACAAAAACTACTGATTGGATTTTAATGAAACCCTAAATAATATAGTTCATACATCAGAATAACAAATAGGCTACTTTTTATTCCGGAAAAAAGTACGGTTCCCGTGGGATAGATTTGTTTGTCTGCCTAGTATACCTATATTATTTTAAATAATCTTTTATCTACTAATATCACGAATTATTCAATCATTTTGTTCTTTTCAAATATTTCTAAAGTAATGTACCTACCAATAACACTACTGAGTTAATTTTCTTAACTGGCTTGCAATTAAATAAAAACGGTAAACAACATGGCCTGTCATTACAAATTCCTAAAATTATGTATTACCTACAAATAACCGTCATAATCGTATATTTTATAAACGATGATACTGCATATAGGTAAAAATTCTTTATTAAAAATAAATCAACCCTATTATATGGGGCATAAGACTGAAAATCAAATATACGTATAAATCTAATTTAACTATAGCAATACGTAGTTAAATGGTTAATGTGACACAAGCGGACACACGTTTTAGTGACGTCATGATCGTAAATCGCAATTTATTGTGGATAAAATAATGAATTGTATGGTGGTTTTCCTTATCTATTACGAGTGGACTTAAAGAGCTTTGAAAAAATGAAGAGCGTACAGTAATATTTTCTTACTACATAAACCAATTGTTTCACGCGGCTTTATTTGTATAATAATAGTTATTATTATACGTATTATGTAAATGAACTTTAAGTATATGACGTAAAACATTATAAAATTAATCTACAATTAAAAAAAACCCTACGCAAATTATTATTTAACGATTACACTGGCACGCGTGAAGCACATAATCGAGTAACCATACGCCAAAATGACGTACATCATTTTGGAAAAGAGCTGATACTCTTACACTGCTGGAGCGATATTAACCAAATATAGCTAAGAACTACCGCACGGAAACTGGCTTTCAAATGAAAAAAACACCCCTCTTTTTGCGTCGGGGGTTAAAAATATAACTGCTACATATGTAGATACATTTTTAAGGGTATTATGTTACGAGTATATCGCTACGATACTAGATTAAATATGTGTGCTATGCACTGCCCTTCGTGAGCTAGTAATGAGACGGTTTCGTACAATCATCCGGAAGATGACTATTAGGGATATACATAATTATATCTTCGCCTTACCTACCTTACTGCAACATATACTTTTAGTCTGTATCAATTTAAATATAAAAAAAAATAATTTAAATGTTAATTAATATGAAATGGAAACCAATTTAACCTGTCATTTCAGTACAATAAATTATTATTAAAAGTATCATGGTACTATAGGTACATTAAATCAACAAGTTTTAAGCGTTATTTTTAACAAAAATTAACGGTGCTCGTAACGCGCAGGCGCGGCGACGCGTCGCAATGCCGCCAACATTGACAGCTGTCAATCAGATTCAATATGGCCGCTCTGCCGGTTTACAAACAGGCTGCTATCTCCGATCTGATGCCAGCTGTACCAGATGTATTAGATTAGTGAAGAGGCTGTATTTTGTAACATTGCCATTTTAGGATTATCACTGATAATACAATCATTTTTATTGTGTTGCTATTATCAACTGAAAGTTTAGATGAAATGAAAACAGCGTGTATGTGAATCACTCTTAAATCATTCTCAGATAAACATTTTTATTAACAAACATATCACATATCACGAGATTCATGAACTTACGTTAGGTTAGGTTAGGTTACATCATTTTTGGACGACGTACTTAGGATTTTAAAATGTACAAATAATCATTAAAGAAAAAAAAATCATATATTATTTATGCACTAAAGATATTCTTTGAAAATAACTACTTAAACCAATTTGTGAAAAAACATTCTAATAATAATTTACTTTTGTAATTGATGTCATACACTTCATAATAACTATTTAGTAAAATGTTATATAGGTATATATCTAGCTTGAAATTACTTTATCTCTGTAATCGAAATCTAAATTCTTCATCCTATAGATAATTTTAATTTTACCTTTATGTTCAAATAATGTTGATCGAATCAATTTCTCATTATACTATTCTCAATATCCATAGAACATGATTATTTTTATATACGTAGATATATATTTACAAACCAAAGAGTGAACTCAAATTATGTATATATATTCATATTTTTTGTTTAAATTTAGGTAACATAGTAACAGAGTTTGGTTAGTAATACTTTATTTTTTTCCTTTAGGTATAAGCAAAGGACGGAAAGACACTAGTGATGTGATACATAATGTGGTACTGCGTCACTTTGACGCATTGGACTGGACTAGTGCAGTGAAATAGACAAATATATCGATATCGATAAATAGTGGTTTAGTTATAAATGAACACACTCATGCTGACGACAGGCCGTGCAATAGACGATCAGCCCATGGACGGGAACATGTCTTTTACTTCTTATAAGTAAGTAATTCTTTTTTTTAAATTTACTTTAGGTAAAGTAGTAAAACACAATTATTTATATATATGGTTGACCCCAATCACGATGGCAGTGTCTCCACAGTAAAAGTCAGCAGTCAGTCAGTTTCTCTCCCAGATGAATATTGTATTGTCATAAATATGCTTTAAATCGATATTGTATGCTCGAAGTAAAGTATAAAGTGAGATGACTACATTTTGTCCTTCTCTGCAAGATAAAAGGCGTGAAGATAGATAGAGATTAAAATCGATAACCTGACGAGAAAAGATGTCCAAAAGACTTTTTTTTAAAGCAAGACTTATTTAATCGTGCTGAAACGTTTCTGCACGTTGATTAATTTCATAAAAAATAATAAACATCTACTTAAGATTATTTACATTGCTGTGACGTAACAAAAGGTCCGTTCACAAAAATATAAGCCGCTCTTACATATCATATTATTAATTGATCAAATGTTTTCTTTTTCTCCAAGCTCCATGTAAAGACATCATATCCATAACCAACATGACATAACCATAACTGAAAGAACAGTACCGTACACGAATGAAGACATTTAACTAAAAAGTGCGAGTAAGAAGTTTCCAATCGATTCAGAATTCGTATGATTACTTATACTTGGAAATCGCGGTCAGCTTTCGATGCATCATTAACAGCATTATCCGAATTAATTATTCGCTTTTTATAATAAGAAACTCTAGAATTTAATTTACAAAGTTGTTGGAGCGCGCTTTGTATTGACCAGCGTCTTGTGGTAGTGGCTAAGTATCTCTCTGGCTTTGATGTCGTGAGTTCAATTTTGTCTTGATAAAATGTTGACATTGTCAGGATTTGTATCACCCGGAGTATAGAAACATTAAAATAGAAGCTTGCTACTTGTACACTAATTAGTATTTACGTAGTAAAGTAAGATTGTTTTTAAATATATTTTAATTTGATTTTAAATGTCTATCAATATATTTGGATCCTCATGAAATACATATTTAAATATTATACAATATACACTACTACTTATTAATAATACTCTATAATATTTTCAATTTAATAAGATGAATTAAATATTAAGTTTTCGTCAGTATTTTTTATAAGAAATAAATTACAGCATAACATATATTAAAGTTTTTGTGAGTTTGTGCCATCTAATATTAAAGTTTTTATTTGCACTGACCTTCAACTTAAATATTAGTAAATAATATATTAATTACTATATCATTTTAAATATATTAGCAAATAAAACATTAATAAGTTTAGGTGTTTTACCTACCTACATGTTCTAGAAAGTTTTGACAAATTTAAAATAAAGTTAAGTGAAGTACCTTAGTCAAGTCTAAGTATAGAGTAGAAATACCCTTTCAGATACGAATCGCTCGCGGAGGAACTTTATTTGCGGTTTGACACTAAATTCATTTTATTGCCATGCTTATAACCAACTTGTCCATGGCCGGTGTAAAATGAGTCCAACACTATAAACTTATTTAAAGGTCAAGATTTCATTCAACGATGCAAATGTTTCAATTAATTTTGATACTTCAAGTAAATAAACTCAGCAATTACGGAACGCAAAAAGCCGTTGACCAATGAATTCGTCAGGCGGTTACAGTCCTCAATCGGGCACCTTTCATTTAAAAAAAAGAACCATACGCCATTTCATGTCAATTTTTGAATAATTCATCGTGCGAATGCGCGAGCGCATCGATTGATGCAAGCAAAAAGCGCGCGCTCGCTAATCTTCGCTGTCTCTCGCGTCGCTTCGGGCTTCCTCGGCTCCCAGTGTTGCCAACCGAAGCATATATTATTCTAGTTTTTGCAGTCACGCTGCGCAAGGACATAACCGGGAATGCATTTATTTGATAAATGATGTTTTTTCTAGAAACCCCAAAGCAGTGATTTTTCACATAATTTTTCGGTGTCAGCGTTGAAAGGTGTTTTTTATGTTCTATTCACGTAAATTCAATTAAAATAGCGTTATTAATAATATTTACGATAGTTTTACTCTTGGATAACTGGTATTTTACGATTGATCGATTTGTCATGGTAATAATCAGTTTCAATTTTAAAAATAAATACATGATTGCCGCATTTATACAATAAACTTTTATTAGCGCGCGCAGGATTTCATAATGGATTATATTCATTATTACGATCCTAAAAGGTTTTGCCACATCAACTACATCTAGCTTAGGTATGATGTAATTAGTGTCTAACAATTAATTTAATACAAAAATCATTGTTGTAGGCAGTTAAGCCAATTACAAGTATCATCATGATGCTTGGAGTGCAGAAAAAATATAGTATTCGAATTTCCGAGCGTTCATCCCCCGCGCCCGCACGTCCGCCGCGCCTCGACGCCGCGTCTCGACTGTACGTGATTGGTTTATTAATTAGGCGAATCATCATCGGGTTCCATTTTTAAAAATAGGCGGGATTCTTGCTGTGCGACTTTTCTTTTTAATTTTGGCCGGCGTAGCACGCAATTAGAGTTGCCAGGATACTTTTTGTCTTAATTCCTCATCAGACGATAAAGGTTATTATAAATTCTGTTTAACATACCCAATTAACAAGGTAATCTGAGACTAGTCTTCTTTGGCTTTATAATTTATTCGGTCTCCATACCTGTCGCATTCATTAAACATTAGTTTGTTACACAAAGTAAAAGATATAAAGAACTATGCCTCATAAACATTGCTTTTAATAATAATTGAAGTTTTTGCGTTATATAAAATTATGGCTAAGGAATGTATTTCTCTAAAAACACGAATGAAATTCACTTAACATTTATGACAAAAAACAAGACGCAGCTTCATACTTACTTTTATATTTAACACTAGCGACTCGTCCTCGCTTCGCTCGAGTTCGATTCCTCATACAAAATTTCATCCGCATTTCCACCCCTCTAAGGAATGATTTCTGGCATAAAAACTATTCTATGTCCTTTTCAGGGTCTCAAACTATCTTCTTACCAAATTTCATCTAAATCGGTCCAGTAGTTTCGGAGCCTATTCAGTACAAACAAACAAATAAAAAATCAAATCTTTCCTCTTTATATATTTAACATTGAAAAGTATTTACTATTGATTTATCTATTTTTGTAAGTGCTAGCTTCTATTTCAGGAATTTTATAAGCGTATTCTATAAACGAATCATATACAAAGATATTTATTATTCATATATTAGATTTTAACGTCTTAAACATCCCGCCTGGACGAATATGGATAAATGAATCAGATCTTATACGTTGGTTGTCGTGCCATAAAAAGTGTGTGTCATTTTGCATTTCCTTAAGCATCAATTCCTTAAACGCATATAAAACTGCGATTAAAAAGTTAACATTCGAAAATCGAACAACGAAGTGAGGTCAACGGAAAAATAACATAAAAAGCCCTGTTCGCGGTCCGTCGAGTTATGTCTCCCAGTGAATACCGTTAGGATGCCTTTGAGCCTAAAATGAGATAAAAAACTGAAAACTATTCCAATTGCCAGTATACGGAATGCGTTTTGTCTGCCATAAGGTTTGTGACTTTTTTTCTAAATGTGCTTAGACATAAAAGTTTACACTTAAAACCGTTAAAAAGTGCCCCTGCCCAAATTCTCAAATCGTAATCTAATTAATGATTTTTTATGGTTTGCATTGTTATAGACATCGACCATACAATTAAACATATAGCTAGAATCTTATAAGATACAAAGTGCCATAAAATAAAAAAAGCAACAACAATTAACTAGCTTTATCAAAGCTCCCATTCGCTTTAAAATTTGTAAGTAACACTAACTATTAGGCAGTGGTAGCCCAGTGGTAACGCGCTTGCTTGGGAAACCGAGTGAAGCGGGTTCAAATCCCGGGTCTCGCACCTCTGATATTTTCATGTGCGAATCATTTCTAACATGATTACCACTTGCCTTACGGTGAAGGAAAACATCGTGAGGAAACCTGCATGTCTGAGAGAACCTAACAAGTTTTCGAAAGACATGTGAAGTCCGCCAACCCGCACTTGGCCAGCGTGGTGGACTATGGCCTGATTCCCCTCGTACTGAAGGGAGGCCCGTGCCCAGCAGTGGGACGTTAAAAAGGGCTGAATACACATACACACACTAACTATTATTAGCAAATAATACAATATCGAAATAATATCGATATTGAATGATTTGGTGTGCTATATTTAATCAATTTCTGCCTAAAATTGTCTATTGTGACTCTTAGGTGAGGTGATTTACATATTCCCAAATAGGGTTGTACTGAGGAACTTAAAGAAATTTTAAAAATTATGGTGGAGGTCTATTGTAGGTACTTGTTTGGGTTGTAAGTTATGTTTAGTAGTTACGGAATCCTTATGATGATAAAAAACTTAGTGAAATTATCAAAGGGCAGGTCGCTTTTTTAATTGTGTTTGATAAAGACATCTTTAAAAAGTATATATTAGCTGTAAGTTTGGCATCAAAGGTTCAACTAATCTGAGCTTTATTCATATGTCACTGTCATACTTGCTGTTGTCAATTAAGTGAGAAGAAACCAAACATATTTTATAAAATTGAACATTTTTTATTCATTAATTTAATTTCTATGGAATTATTTTGGATTAATTTTAATTCGAGTTATTAACACAAATACTTTTAGGGCTGATTTTTTATGTCGTAGGTCCACTACGTTTTTATTAAATTTGAAAAATGTTAGATACTTTATTAGTCAAATACACTTTAATTAAAAGTACCTAATAAATAAATAACAATATAAATTATAACGATGAAGTATTCTATACATATACCTAATATATTATATACAAATTACGTTTTTCTTTGTCATATATTTATCCTATTAACAGCTTTAACTATATGATTAAAAGGTTATTTAAATATTACGCACAAATAAGTATAATCATCAAAAGACTTGCCATTTTAAATAACTGAATCATTTTTGAATAATACCTACAAATTTGTTTTATTAGCGACTTAACTCGCTTTACTCCAGTACATCTCTAGGTTTCTAACAGTA